TCCCCCCACCCTATCGCCTCTCCTCTGAGATCCTGACATTTTCTGCAGCCTTTCTACTGCTACTCCATGGCCCCTTCTTACTGCTGTCTTTCAGCTACACCACTGATTTCATGACAGGTAAGATCTAGCACTTGGCCTTCTCGGATAAGGGCGAGAAATCTTGGAGGTCTCGTGTGCAAGTTGGGCACTTTAAAGATGCCTATGTGGCCCAAAATCTATAAGAGTAGGCTTCTGTCGCCACTGGGACAAAATTCAAAATCAATGGCTACCAAATTGAAAATAGTTAATGCGTCCCTCGCGCCCATATCACCTTATGCATTTGCGAACGATGTCAAACATTAAAAAAAACAACAACAAGACATTCCCCAACGATTCACATATTCTGTTGAACATCATAAGTTAGTATAAGAGATTTGTTGGCTGTTTTATTACAGGAGAAAATTGTAACCCATAACATTGAACGAAGTAAGGATGTATCAATGGACATGTAAACTTATGTTCTGCAATGCCTCCAAGATACGTGGGTGGTTGGCAGATGCTCTGATGTAGTCCGCTCCTTCTTCCTGGTCAAACATTTATTATCCTCCTAATCTCTCCTCCTTCTTTCTGAGTTTGTTACTCTCTCGCAACATATCTGATCTCCGGTACTTACATGATCTATTGTGTTGTAAAAAATTCGTGGTGAAACTTATTCTTAAATATATCTTTAACTGATGAATCAATGCCAGCCATACTTTGTACAGCAGGCTGTATCAGTCTGACTTACCTTAATCATAGATCTACTTGTCAACAATTATTAAATACTACAAATCTTAATCCCGCGAAAAATTGAATTGTTCACAGAACTTCCCACTTCTCACATACATTTTGCATGCATGCGCCTTTTGTCTACGTCACTTCTAACCAATGATATGCTTTAGTGTTTAGCGCCAAAACTTGTTACAACAAATTAATTTACAAATCTAGTGAACACTTTTTTGCATTAAAGGTTCTCAAAGCATACTACGTTCAATAAGCGAAGTGTCAAGATTAGGAAGAAAAAATAACTGTCTTTCATTTAGAAGCGATTTTGTTCCAGCTGTATACTTTTTGAAATCTGTAGAAACCACCCACAGTGATTTTTGTTAGTGTTTATTACGGAATTTTCTAGAATAAAGCTAAAAAAGAAAATGACTTGTTAAGATAAAATGTTACAAGTCATTTTGCAAAAGCTGGAGACTTATTATATGATTATTGAGGAAATATTTGACAAGTTACGCCATTAATTTTTGACTGCACTGTAATTGTGGAAAACGTACAAAAAAACTAAAACTCAAATGTTACAGACCTTTGTGTGAGCCGCAAGCATGGGGTAGCCTCTGTTGCCAGATTTCATTGCTCTGCGGAGTCATCAACCATTCATTACGCTTTCTTGACGATTCATCAACAGGCATTGACCGTTTGAATAATACCGAAAGTGGATTTTTGTTTTGTTTTGGTGTCTTACGTCGCTCCCAAATGCATGGGGTCATATGAGTACATTGGACACATTAAACACTTTTTTCTGTTTAGTAGGAAATAATGTTGAATTTTGCCAGGCTGGTAGCCGAAGCCTACTCTTAACAATTTGGGACAACCAAAAGATCTTTATTGTGCACAACTTGACATGCAACCTCTTTCGCCCTTAACAGAGAAGGCTAGGTGTTAGATATTACCTAGCCTAATTTCAGGTGAGTTGCTGATAGACAGCAGTCAGACGATGAGAAGTAGCAGTAGAAAGGCTGTAAAACGAGCCAGGGGCCCAGATAAAGGGGGGAGGGGAGGGGCAGAAAGTGGGTCTAGGTATTATGTTTTTGCTGTGGTTTTTGCATTTTTCACAATTTCACAGTTTAGAATTTGATTTTTTGAAGATTTTAACGCGAGAACTCTTAACTAAAACTACAGATTAAGAAACTTCAATGTTTTTATAATTTTGGAAGTTCAATCTGTTAGTCTGGCATAGAGTGTTGGAGGAATTGACCAACGTTACCTACGAATAAACAATTATAATAAACATACTTATATAATTATGATACTCTCACACACACAAACACACACACGCACACATACACACACACAGCTAGATAGATAGATAGATCAGATAGATAAATAGATAGATAGATAGATAGATAGATAGATAGATAGATAGATAGATAGATAGATAGATAGAGAGAT